AATAAAATTTTATTTAAAATTCCTAAAAATCTTAGAATATTATGCAAATCGTTATTCTGAGCAACTTCACTTACTACGCCAAGTTTACTTTCCTTATTTGGCTACGATCATCATTAGGTAACGTGAAAATCAAAATTCCGGTGATCAATGTCAGGGGAGTGTACGTACGTACGTACGTGTATTAAAGTTCATTTTCTTCAACCAATAACATCTACTAAACAGAACAATTAAAATCTTCAAATACCTTATGATATTTTTCCTTTATCATAATTAAGCGTCATTGATTCTTAATAAAGTAAATAAAAGCTCAATTCAATAAATTGTTCTCGGAGAAGAAAGGTTACCAGGTTACCGAGATGTTTTGAGTCAGATAAACCGAGGAAATTTCCGAGAGAATTATCAATTATCAAGAGAATAACCAAGAGAATTGCGGTGTCAGAGAATACAAAAGTGAGCTAGCAGTAAAAGAAAAAAGTATTACCGGTAGTTATAAATAATATAAAGTGAAGATGTACTGAGTAATTTAAGACTCTAGACCTAGACGATACAACATTAATGGTATGTATGCATCGAACAAATAGGACTTAAAATTTAACAAAGTTTTTTTAAAAATGACGATTGATTTCTTTATTTCCATTCATTCAACCAATTTTTTTTTCTAATCAAAATACGAGCAGAATGGACACTTTCATTATTTCTATATTCGGACCAATATTACCATTATCGTTATTACTACGTATTATTACTATTATTAGAATATGATTTAGAATACGTAGAAGCTTTTTCGTCGTACAATCATAAAAATGAAGATGTGAAAAAATCCTTATAAGATTCTTAATATAGAACTTTTAATACGTATACTTAGGATTTTTAATTCCGTGGCAAAAGATTGAAAAACATAACCAACCTCTACCGCTACCATGTTTACTTACCATGTCTACCCTGTTACCAAAAAAGCTTACAAAGCAGCCATGTTACTGAAAAAGAGATAAAACAAGTTTTCCATAATTGTTTCCCGGAAAAGGTGACCCCAATTCCATTGAAAAAAAATTTCAAGTTTCCTCATAAATCCAAACATTATGCGGCGTTACCCTAACTTTCTTTCATCTTTTCCCATATGCTTCCATGTACGTACGTACGTATGTACAGTACATACATATGTAGCCTTATGTCTTTTAGATCTCATAAAAGTTTAGCGTTTTATCATTCAAATTCTTAAATGGAATATTCTCAAAGTGTTCACAAATTTCCGAGATGTTGATTATCATTCCTTAAGAAATACTAAAATGGGAATATTGATTGATCACAATCGCGAAATTATGTTATATTCCTTTTTTATCGTTATTACGCAGTTACGTTTGGCTCGTATAAACCTAATTCTTTTAATTTCAATTAACGGTAAGTGTTAGTGTTAATGGGTAATTATAATTTCAAATTATATATAAGTCATTTAAGAAACTTTTTATTACAGTAATGCAAAGAATGGTCTGGATAAGAATGATCTAGATCTAGATACATTTATTTATGTTGAATTTTAAGGTTAGGGTATAGGTTTATATAAACTAAATTCCACCCCGAAATACACTTGACCCTCGCTAATATCAACCCATTTGGATCACTCTTATATTCATGTTGATAGTGATATTAATGAGGAATCATAGTAAAATTGATATATATGAGGGAATTTTGATATATAAAAATTTATAAAAATTTGGCTTGTGGCTTAATTAACATACGTAGGTTGATATTAACGAGGGTCATGTGTACTAATTTCACTTAAAACATTTACAATAATGACCGCAACTACGTACGTACGTACGTACGTAGCAGAGTCTCACTTTTTTTTGGTTACAACATAAATTATTATTACCATAATAATCTAAGCTTGTTACTGCACATCGATACGCACGTCTGTACGAATCGATGTACGATAAATAATAAAACATTATTAATAGATATTTAATGGATATTATGAAGAAGAATACCAATAAAGTAAATGAAACTATATATTTCAACCTTAAAAAGTTCATTTCCAATTATATAAACTGGTTCACATTTCGATTTAGATTGTCATTTGCATTTTTTATAAATGAAATTATCTTTGATTTTCTAGGACATTAACCTAATTAATGAATATTAAGTACATGCGTTTGTGTATGTAAAAGAAAACTGTAAACTTTTAGATAGCATGAGAATTTGTTTTTTCTTTATTGTAAAGATCTACAACTATTTATGTGTTACAGTAATAAACGATCTGATTAGATATGTAAAGTTTTGACTTCTATTAAGTACGACCAAGTACGACTACGTACGTACGTACGTACGTAAGTACTTGCGTGCGTAACTGGCACAGTCAACCACACTTCTCTTAGTAACGCATTTAGTGGTAATTATATTTGACGTATTTTTTATCGACATATCGTTATCGTTATCGTTATCAAAGAACAATTAAGTTTAGAATATCGATATCGATATAGTTTAGTCTCTTATGGTGTAACTACTACAAATCCCTAAAAAACTAAAAACTTTCATGTGTCACGTGTTTTCACATGCAAAATTGTAAATACTTCTTACAAATAAGGAATTCGATTCGGTTTAAAAGCTATTTCCTTCCGATTTTCACCTTTGTACTTTATTCTTTCTAAAATTAATTTTTTTAATTTTTTTTTTTTACCTTGAATTCAATTCTACTCTTTATTTGTGTCATTAATATATTAATAATATATATACTCTTACACATTCATATATACACTCACACAACATTCACATATACACTTACACAGCACTCACAGTACTCACACGAAACTGAATTTCGTAATAAAAACAATGACCGATTCAGAGTATTACAATTGTTTATCTCGAGATATATTAAAACTTCTTGACGATCCTAGAGATTATGACATGATTATAACTGTTGGAGAAGATCCAGATATCAAAACATATTTTGTTCATTCTAATATTTTACGAGTAAGATCTGACTATTTTAAGACCGCTCTTTCAAGTGGTTGGGTTAAAAAAGAAAACGAAACTATTCAATTTACTAAACCTAATATATCCCCGGCTGTTTTTGATGTTATTTTAAGGTATTTTTTATTCCGGATTTATTTTAATTTACTTTAAAAAGTATTTACCTAAATTATTTGTTTCATTTATTTATTTATTTCTTTTATTTATTTTATTCAATTATTTAATTTAATTTATTTAACTATATTATTTAACTATTTTATTTAACTATTTATTTAATTCTTTAATCTAATTCTTTAATCTAATCATCACACTTTTTTAAACCAGATTCATTTATGGCGGTAAAGTCGTTTTTGGTGAATATTTGGATCCTCAACTGGTATTTGATTGTGTCATTGCTGCTGATGAATTAGCCATTCTTGATCTTCTTAAATACGCTCAAAGATACCTTTTAGAAAATCAAATAACATGGTTAAAAGAAAATCTTGCCTTAATTTATCTTCGTAGTTTTGGAATTGAATCTTTAAAAGATTTACAAGACTTTAGTTTAGATAGAATTAGAAAATATCCAAATTTATTATTTGGTAATGATGATTTTCTTTTGTTAACCGATGATGCTTTAGAAGTAATTATTAAAGATGATGAATTAGAAATGGAAGAATTCTCTATCTGGGAAAAATTATTACAATGGGGAATTGCAAAAACTCAAAATTTACATCCTGATTTTACTATTTGGACCGTGGAAAATTTCATTCAACTTGGTTTAACTATTCAAAATTGTGTTAAATATATTAGATTTGATAAGATTGATGAGGCTATTTTCGCTGAAAAAATTGCTCCTTTTAAAATTTCTTTAGGTCCTATTTATGATGATATTTATGACGATATAGGTTTAAAATCTTGTTCAAAAAAATTATTACCAAGTCGTGGTGCTATTGTATCTACTATTATGAGCTCTCAACATGCTGCAATAATGGCAAGTTGGATAGATCGTAAAGATGTTATTCCGGATGCTGAAAAATCTTTAAATCATTCTTTTTATATTCCTTCCCAAATTCCTTACAAGTTTAAATTACTTGTAAGAGGTAGTCGCGATGGATTTTCTCCCACAGTTTTTCACAAATTATGTGATCGTGTACGTTCAACTATCTCTTTATTTAAATTAGTTAATTCGGATATTTTTATTGGTGGTTATAATCCTGAAGTATGGGATTCTCCTTTATGGCCAAAATATAAATCAAGTGATAAAGCTTTTATATTTTCTTTTACTCAAGGTGGATCTAATCTTAATGGTCAAAGAAATAATAATGGAAAAATTGGAAGAGTAACTGATCATGTATACGCATTAAATTGTTGGAGATATAATGGACCATCTTTTGGAAAATGTGATTTGGTAATGCATAATGGTGGTATTCTTAGATTTAAAAATCAATCCTTTTCGCCTCAAATTATGCCTACCGAAAATATTATGATGAAAATTGAAGATTATGAAGTATTTGAAGTTGTAGAAAAGATTAAGGATAAAAATAATACCGCGATATCATAGAATATCATAGAATTATAGGAGAATATCAATTTATATCAATTTAGATTTTTGATTGTTAAATTGAGAAAGTTTTTTTTCTTTGTAGATTTTTGGCAATTTAGATTAAAATAGAATGTATGAAAGTATGAGAGTTTTAACTTATTCCTATTATTCTTTAGGAATGATATTGTTATCTCACAATGGAGAATGAACAACTCCCTCTGGAAGGGACAGACTTTTATATTCGCGCCTTTAATAAATATATATATATTTTTATATCATTACCATATTATTTTCTAGAAAAAAAATTTGATTTATGGTTTTTTTATAGTTATTTAAAAAAAATCCAAATAAAGACATGTAACATTTATATATAAAAATATTACATTATTTGATTGTTGGTGTTGACTTTAGACGATACCAGGGCGGCCCCTCCAAAGTTCGGGTTGATGGTCATTGTCATTGCTGCAGCATATAAACGATTTTGATTGGCTGTTCTGTGTAAATAAGCTGCAAAATTGGCCTACATTATGTAACACATGATATAATTCTGACCAGAATTATATGCTACGGCAATTATTGATCATCAACCCGAACTTCCTCTTGACTTTACGTATTTCTGTATTTAAATTATTACTAAACGTTACATTTTAGTAAAGAATTTCAATGTTTTACAAATGTCATTAAAACAACGTACGTACGTACGTACATGTCAATAAATATAAACTCAAAGCAAATAAAAAAAAAAACCATTAAGAGTTCTAGGATTAAATAATGTAGAAAAAAAAAATGTAAACATGACATTAATACTTACGAATACAAGTAACTAAAGAGTAATTACGAGTAACAAAGAATAATTAAAGAATAATTAAAGAATAATTACAAGAGTAATTAATTAATAATTACGAAAGGGTAATTAATTAAATAAGAATAATTAAGGGTAATAAAGAGTATATATAGACACAACCATTAACAATGTTACTATTTTTCCAACGGATTTGAATCTTCTAGTTTCAGAGATGGTAAATGTCAAAGTGAGGTTCGTCCTATAAGTAATATTGTAGGAATATCAATACCCTTAAAAAATAAATAAAAAATAAAAAATAAGACTATTCAATTAATTAATTACATTATTAGAAGATAAATTTTTTGAATCTACGTTATTGATGTTATTAATGTTATTGATCTCTTTGACATTGTTGACATTGTTGACTTTGCTGACTTTGTTGACTTTGTTGACTTTGTTGACTTTGTTGACTTTGTTGACATTGTTAACATGGTTGACATTGTTAACATTGTTGATCTTGGTTCTTTTATTAAATCTTTTTTTAAAATATTTTTTTGTCGTAAATTTAAAAGTTTATTGGTGTTTTTTTTTTTACATGGATTTAATCGAATAATCGAATGTTTGATGGAAAAAAATTGTAAATAAACGGCCTAACCTTTTTCCATGAGTGCCAAATGCTAAAACAGTTCTGTCGGGCCAATGAGGTGTTTCACCATCGCCAAAATAACCAGAACAACGGTGGCAATGAACACATCGACAAGTCTTGAAGGCGGTACGACAACAGGTACAACAAAAGCGACAGTATTTACAATAGTAAACAGTACAATGGTAACACTGCGCAAAATAACGACAAAAGTAACAGTAACAACAATAATGACCATTGGTTGAATAACAACACTTTGAGTTATTATTATTTTTATTAGTTGAGGAAAGCTCTTCGATTAAAGTGTAACGCGGTTGTGACATTATCACAATTAAAGATGTAAAAAAATAAAGTCGTTAAAAAATGAGAGAGATCTGACGTCTCGAAAAAATGTAATATGTGATTAAGTACATTATTTATATAATAATCAGTATGACGTATAACTAAGCTTTATTGATTTTTTTATTGTTCGTATCGGTGATTCGGATAATAAATAAATTTAGTACTATGCTCAGCGATATATTGTTTGTGCCTAAAGATGGGAATCGATTCTCTCAATAGCTATTTCGAAAATATTGAGAATCGCCTAACTGTGACTGTGAGTTCTTCAAACCTTTCATCACAATGGAATTTTATACAAATAAATATTTATTTTTGCTTGTACTGCACTTGACGTGCATGATAAAATAACGTACATTTATTTCGCGAATATATGTACTGAATGGTACATGGCAGGAAGTTTGAGGTGTTAAAAACAAAACACTGCTCTACAAAGGGTTTGTTAAACAATTGTTGTCTGCATATTACGCGAAGTGCGGTCAAGAGAAAACCTGTCATCGGAGTGCCGTCTAGGAAAATTTATCATCGAGCCTTCAGTTACATTCTGTGACAAATATAATCGAAAGTCTGATGATAGACTTTCCCTAGACGGCACTCGGAGAACAAACTGGACACAAAATATAATTAAAAGCCCGATAACAGGTTTTTTCTTGAACGCACTCATATGTCATAACGCATTGAAGGGCTACTGGTTTTTTTACAAAACTTCTTTGTTCTATTCTTAGTAATCCACATTCTTATTAAAGCATTTATAATTTAGAATGCTCTTACATTTAAGTAAACCTTTTTAGTTTTAGTCCCAAGACTTAAACCTGTGATATAATTATTCTTTTAAACTTTAGCGATCATGCTGGCACTTTATTAGAATCTTAATTATTTGAAGTAAATGATTTGTTAAACCAAGAACTATCTAATTTCTAAGCTAGTCTTATCTGGGAACCGTATGGCCCCTAAATACTATTATTGCACTACCCCTACTCTAAAGTTTGAGTTTGGTAGAATATCTTGCAAGGCACAAAGCAAGTTTTTAATTTTATCAGATAGTTTATATTCTATATAGAATTTTGGTTTTTTAATCTTATTATAGTTTTTATATTTCTTATATTAAATACAACTTTTAAATTGGTATTGTTTAGTATTGTTTAGGTTTTAATTCTAATAAGCTTCTAATTTAATATATTTATCTTTTCATAGCAATATATTTTTAAATAAAAAAAATATATTTTAAAATCTATTTTAGCAATTTTGTTAAAAAATTTTTAAATAACAAAAATTTAAAAATTTTTGGTTTAAAATTTTACTATTAAAAATTTTTTTAAAATTTTAAATTTCTATATATTTTTTTATCTATAAAAACTTTTTACTATTTATATTAGTTCTATTTTTTACAAATAAATTATAAAATTTTGGGATTGGTATAACTTTTTAGATACAACCAGAATTGTCCTATATACTTGTGAAATATATTCTAAACCCCACTATAGCAGGTAGTATTTAAAAGAATAGAGGAATACACTGAGCAACTATATAATGTTAAGACCTAAGGCAGCTGCTGTTGAGCTGTGATAGCAAGAACTGGTTTGAGATACAAGTTAGTAGTATCTGGGAGAAATGTGAAAAGAGATACTCAACAATAAAATACCAACTTTGTCATATTATAAACCTAACTAGGCAGCAGTTCTGGCTTGAGATATAAGTTCTTGCAATTCTCAAACCAATATCAGAATAATCTTAGAAGAAACAATAATATAACATATCAAACTAGGAAATTATCAAGATCTATAACCTGAATGTTACCAATTTGAGAGTTATATAGAAGTGAAAAAGTAGGTGATGCAGAGAATATAGTCTAGCTAGATATAGTAGTTTCAGGATGCAGAAATAGCATCAGATACAGGTCTGATTCTTATTACCAGTAAGTAGTTTAATAGCAATGTCTTTCCAAGTAGTAAATATCCTAACTGCTAGTATTAGTTTCAGTTATAATGTGTTAGTGGTATAATTAGGATATATTTGAACATCCAATAGAATAGCTGGATAAATGCCAAAACTCTGAGTTGTGTTAATATAACCTAGTTCTAGATTGTAATATATTTTAACAATTATGTATACAGTTATGATCATATCTAATAAAGTGTTACTAGCTTTTCTAGCCAAAGTTTAAAAAAAAATAAAATGAAATAAATTATAAAATTTTATAATAAAACAAGCAACTCTTCCTGATGATTACTTAGATTAACTTTTCTAACTGCAAGTTGAAGACACAAGACTCAGAAATCTATTTATAAACTGTTGTCAACAAAGTTTTTTAATATAATATACTAAGATGCAGACATGTTCTTGTATATTAAATAAAGTTTTCTATGAAAAAATATTTTTAGAATAACATAGAAACTAAATACAGAAACATACATAAAAATATATAAAAAATATACAAAATGTACATTTTCTGCATTTTTGAACAGAAAAATACTGTATTTTTTATGTTTTTTAAAACACAGAATGGTATTTTTTGTGTTTTTAAAATACATTGTCTTTTCTGTTCAAAAACATAAAAAGTGTATATTTTATATATTTTTATATATTTTTACATATATTTCTGTGTTTAGCTTCCATATTTTTCTATGTTTTTCTGAAAATATTTTTTCATAAGGATTGTAAAGCTCATCAAGATGCACTTAACAACAATTAAATAATCTAAATTGGCCTAGTGAATGCTAAGATATTTTTGAAAAATGTTTTGCTAACTATATAAAATTCTATATAAATAATACTATTGTTTATATAGAATTTTATATAGTCAGCAAAATATTTTTCAAAGATATCTTAGCATTCACTAGATTGATTTGGATGATCTAATATCTTTAAATACATTTTAACATTTTTTACAACTTTCACTTAATACACAAGAGCAATTAACTTAGTAGAAAAAGATTTTTCTTAGATGCATACTGCATTTTTATCTATAGTAATTGTTATGGTTAATGCTGAATTTGGCTGATGCTAAATATCATATGAAAATTTAGCCCAGAAATTACAGATTGTATATTGATTATAAAAATTTAAAACAAATGTCTCTTTATCAAAAATTGTCAATTTTCAAAATCTTTATAAGAAACAACAGATCTTTTTTAGTATAGGTGGGCATATATAAATTATTACAAGATTACAATATATAAAACCTAACTAATTTGAGCTAATTTAAATTTTAACTCTAACTCTAACTCTAATAATTTATAAAATTACTTAAAT